TGCCCATCTTCCTCTACTTTATATGTGGGATGCCTGCCACAGCATGGCTTGATGAGCGGTGCAAAGGTCCGTGCGGGGGATTTGAATCTATGAACCCCAGGCCACCGAAGCGGAGCACATGAACTTAACCACTACACCACCAGGCCAGCCCCCTCCTGCATTTTTTCATAAAATACTTTTATTTATTAAAAATTGGATCATATTTAGTGTTTTGCACCCTGTGCATAACTTATTTTTTCATGAGAATTTTTCCAACACCACTGAGAATTCTTCAAATACACACTTCTTAAGTAAATGTAAGAGGCTCCCTTTAGTCACACTGTAACTCATTTATATTCACTAAAGGTGGATATTTAAACGTTAACACGTTTTAGGTCTTTTATGTAAGGCTGTGGTAAACATCTTTCAATGAAAAAATTTAACTTCACTTCTACTATAGCTTTAAGATAACTTAAAGTGCATTACTGGGTCAAACAACATGGCTAATTTTAAGAGTTTTAATATATTTTGTCAACTTGCTTTCCAAAAAGATAGTACCAATTTACACTCTGATCAGGAGTATGTGAGGGGTATTTGATTATTTTACAAATTATGAAAATATAAATAAAATAAACAGATTAATTTTTTTAAGTCAAGAATGCTTTCTTAAAATAAAAGTTATCATAAAGGCTAGAAGCTATGAAGGAAAAGGTGGATAAATTTATCTACATAAAAATTCAAAATTCTTTTACGGAAAATATTAAAAACAAAAATCAAATATGAATAAATTCCAAATATGGAAGCTAAATTGGGAAAAAGTTTTGCTGCACATAAGTAAAACAAAATATTAGTTTCCCTAATATATCCTTAAAGCCTTTGACATTAGTAAGGATAGGCCCTACACTAGGAAGTATGGGCAGGACATTAATAGAAAGAAAACTACTGAGTCTGCATGGAAGCATGCTTAACTTTGACCAATAATATAAATCAAGGAGATGTAATTGTTCTCCTATCCAATTAAGAAACAATAACTAGGCTGAAACAAAGATATGGAGAAGCAAGGATTGTCAAACTGTGGTCTGAGTTGCTGGTTAGAAATGCAGAGTCTCAGGCCCAACCCCAGACCCACAGAATAAGAACTTGCATTTTAACAAGATTCCAAGTGGTTCATGTGCACTTCAATATTCAAGAAACACAGATATAGTACACTGGTTCTCAAACTGGGCTGTGCATGGAACCTCTGGGAACTTGAAAAAATGCTGACTTCCTGGACCATCTCCTAGAGATTCATTTTATTGGTGAGAGTGACCCTGGCACTTCTTAAAATTCCCCAAATGCTTTTAATATGCAGCAAAATTTGAAAATCATGAATTCATTACTAGTAAGTAGCTAGCAATTTGGCGATATATACTAAATCTAAATTTGTGTAAAATTTTCCAACTAGTCTTTTATTATACAGAAATACCTGTGTAATTTTGCAAAGATATTGGAAAACTATTGTCTGCTACAATACTGTTTGTAACAGCTGAAAATGAGAGACAACCAAAAAAATCCATCAATAGGCAGACAGTTTAAATGCAATATGGTGTATCATACACGGCAATGTTTTACAACCTGCCTGGTAGATTTATGCCTCTCTGTTGTTTCCTATACATTGCCTTTCCTCACAGTCAAGAGCCCACCAATCTTCGCACCCTCAAGAACTTGCTGGACACCCACTTGGGATGTTCACAGAGAAGCAGAAGGTCTGAGATCCCAAGGGGTGCATGTACCCCCTCCCACTAAGGTGTAGGCCTGCGCATCAGGGTGGGCTGTGTCGCCCACATAATGGCAGGACATTGAAGGGAGGTGCTATTTGGCCCAAACAGAGGCAGTCCAGAGGCCAGACATTTAGGAAGCCGGTGCACAACACAGGTGGGCAGGAGACATCTGGGGGGTCCTCCACGCTGAGGGCAGAAGCAGGAGGCACTTGCCTGCTGTGTGTGAGCTGCTTGGGCCGAAGACCAGTGGCCAGCAGGGGAGAGGTGGCCTCACTGAGGCAGGGTCACAGGTGCTGGATTACATCACAAAGTGTGACCTCTGTGCAGGGATGTGGACTCAGAAGGTGAAGACAGACCAGAGATCAGGAGCAAGGGAGGCCTCGGACCAGGGCATAGGCACCAGCTGAGAGTGCTGGAGAGCCAGGAGAACCACAGGCTGGATGTGCGTCAGAGCCCAACTCCACGAGGAGGAAGGAGCAGCTGGTGGGAGGGCCAGGTTGGAAAGTCCACAGAGGACCAGAGCCAGGAAACGTCGGGCTACAGCACTTCTCACAGTCACATCTACAGGCCCGAGGTGCAGAAACAGGAGTGGCAGTGAGGCACACAGGGTAGGTGTCAGCGTGTGTGGGTCTAAGCGCTCCCCCTGGAACCGCAGTCCACACCCAGGATAAGGAGGGCAGGAGACTGGTAGCAGAGATTCCTCAGCTGGCTTCTTGTGGGTGGGTTTCCTTAGAGGACAGGGATAGCTCTATAGGGTGACCCTAATGGCTCTGTCTTGAATCCAGCTGGGCTGATGCCGTCGTGGTAAGATCTTTGAAACTATAGTAGCAGCAGTGGTCGCCCCACACCGCCCGCAGCTCCAGCCCTGAGAAAACAAGGAGGCTCGTCTGTGTCCCTGGACGGCGGGACCATGACCAGACCCCGAGGGTCCAGCCTGCTCCTACTCACCATTCTGGTGGCCCTGGTGGCCAGCACAGACCCAGACAAGAATAAGATCAACGAGTGGAGGGAATTAAAAACCATCGGTGCCTCAAATGCCAACGTGAAGCAGTGTCTGTGGTTTGCCGTGCGAGAATACAACGAAGAGAGTGCAGACAAGTACCTCTTCCAGGTGGTCAAGATTGTGCAAGTCAAGATGCAGGTAAGGTGTTCTCTCCAAATATGCACATTTACATATGGTGGCACAGACTAAAGCCAGGCCGAAAGAGTGCGCATGTGAAAAAAACATTGATAGAGAAAAATCCTGAACATGTTACTGCTCAAGCGCATACACACTTGCAAGTTCCTGTAACATCAGCGTGCCTTCTGTATCTGCTCAGACTGTCATTCCAAGTACTTTACATATATTAACTCATTTAAACCCCAAACTGCAAATCAGATGTTCATGATTTGTATTTGCTAAGTTTGGGGGACAAATTGAGCACCATGAATATTTTGTAATAATACTGCCAGGGGCAACATTTCAATCTAGCCACATAACGTGGAATGGGGGGTTGAAAAGAGACACGAGGCGCTGTTTAATGTATAAGCTAAGTGTCGCCTCCTATATTCTTTAATTCTTTTAATCCAACATTTATTTAGTGGAAGTGGAGGCATTCTGATTTTCTGTTTATAGAAATCTACCCCTCCTTATGGGGCCATGAGTTGCCTAATGTTAGGAAGAATTGCCTCCTTGGATTCCAATGTGGGTGATGCTCCCTGGAGTTTGCAGCATGAGGCCCTGCCCGCCACGTTTGAGAAAAGCCCTCGGTGTTGGAATTCAGCTGATTGTCCCAGCCTCAGTCAGTTGGTTGATGGTGTGGCTTGTAATTGCACAGTGAAATGTGCAGGAATGAGTTGTAAATATACTCAACAGATATGTCACTGTTGGCAGAGCTGACTTCAGTTTTCCCCCTCTTCCTGCTGCCTTTGTTAGCAGGAGCTAGGCTGGTTTACAAGTTGGCGCATATGACCTCGTCTCTTTGGGAAAATGTGAGCCATTGGCATGATATTTCCAGTATGTTATGCTGATAACACAGCACCCTTTATGGATTGGGCACCCTCCACAATCCACCTGGAGGCATGCTCCCTTGGCCCTTTGAAATAAAGGAATGGATTCTGGATCTTGTAACAACTCTAGTCCCATTCACAGCTTGCTTTCTTTGGTACCAAGTAGCATACACATGCAGCAAGTTTCTCACAAGCCACTTCTGTGCTAGCTGCTGTAGATGGAGCAGTGAGATGGGCAGAAACGGTTACAGACCTTAGGGAGCCAGCAGTCCAATTAGAAAGAAAAAATGCTAAACCAGGTATGTGGGTTGTGACATTATTCTGGGAGCATGGTACGTGGGGGTCTGAGGTTCAGGGGAAGGTTTCTTCAGATGGCGTTTCTCACCTGAGGAGCTTGAAAATGTCCTCCTGCCCTGGCTGCACTGTCAGCAATTAAATGATCTCTGGTTGGGACCCAGGTCTCAATAGGTATTAAAATTCTCCAAGTGATCCCAATATGCAGTCAGGGTTGAGAACAACCTCTCTAGGGAGTGACGTCGAGGATGCAACCTGAAGGTGGACCAGTTAAACAGCTGAAGGAGGCTGGTGGGAAGTGTCTTTGTTTGGGTTTCCCCAGAAGCAGACCCTCGTGCTAGGACTCAAGTGCAAGTAGTTTATTTGGGTGGCTATCCCAGGAAGCAGGAGGAGGCCGGAGGGGAAGTACGAGAGGGCAGGGAGGCAGCCAGAGCAGGGTGAGTTCCTGAGCAGGTGACCACCACGGGCAGCTGGGCTCGGTCTGCCGAGGGGCCTCAGGGAGAGGGTGCAGGGCCCACCGGGAAGTTGACCAACCTGCAGGAGAGGAGCTGGGCTCCTTACCCACCAACTGCCATCCGTCATTGGTTAAGAGCTGCTCTGGGAGCCCTTGGCTCCTGCTAGTGGCAAGAAGCCCCCGAGACAGGGAGTCCCGGAGCTGGCAGTGTACAGCATGTGGCCTCCTGCTCACGGCCTCTGCACAGGAGGGGAGCAGCGAGGGTTTGGGGGGTGCATGGGCGTGGGGAAGAGCAGCCAGGCATAGCAGGCTGCTAGTGGGAAGGAATAGGGCCCATTTCAGCAACTCTAAGGAGCCAATGTGACCGGCCAGAAAGGTGGGCAGGGGCCAGACCATGCTGGGCCTCATGGGCCTGGGCGAGACCTTGACTCTAAGAGCAATAAAAAGCCACAAAAATATTAGGTCAGGGAGTTCTTAGGATCCATGTGATCAGAAGTGAGTTTTAAATCTATTGCTCTGGTTAGCTTATTTTTAGAACGGGGTTGTGAGGATTCAGTGAAAATGTCCACATAACCACACGGCCTCCAGCTTCCCACAGCTCAGGTTCGCGTTTCCCTGGAATCAGCACGGAGCAATCCTCGGCCTTCCCTTGGCTGAATTAGCAGAGAGGGCAGAAACGAGAGAGGAGTGGAGCCTGGAGGTTAGGGATGAAAGTTCCAATGCGGGGTGCCTCGGTTTGAGCCCTGGGTTAGCTGCTTGCTGGATGGATAGTTACTCAGTTCCTCTGTGCCTCAGTTTCTTCACTCGATAAAAATCAGAGTGACAGCCTGACCCCAGAGGGCTGGTGCGCTGGTTGACTGTATTATCACATGCAAATCCCCCAAAACAGTGCCTGGTGAAGGTTAGCAAGTATCACAACTAATAGGAAGTTCTGTTGGCGACCAGGATCACCTCCACAGGATTTTCGAGGTTCCCTAAGTACAAACTTAGCTCCCAAACCCAAGGGGTGGTTCTGTTGGTCAATTCTTGATGTCATCTAACCAGCTTCTCCCTGCAACACAGGCCAGAGGGTCCCTGATTAACTCTTTGGAACACAGCTAAAATGTAATACAACTTCAGTAAGGCCTGGAGACAGCAGTGGGGAAAGGCCTGATAGAGAAAGGAGAGTCCAGGTAACCTGGACCCAACTTGCAAACACCCCTTTCAACTCCTGCTGTAATCTTTTACAATTGATGAAAACAGATTTAAATGGACGTCACAAGCAGCCATACCCATGCCCAACCATGAATGAATCAGTGAACGCTGATGCCTTGCTGTAACCTACTGCCACTCTACTTACTAAACACTCCACAGAGAACAGAAGACGGACTTCTTGAGGACTGCTTGCTGAGGTGGTGGGCAGGCCTTGAGGGGGAGCCCCAAAGGGCAGGAGGTGTCACCAGATGACAGGATCTGAAAGGATGTGTGGGAAAGGAATCAGAGAGGAGGGTCCAATGTGGCTGAGGGGCCTGTCCTCAGCCGGTGCACACGGACCTGTAACATTGGGCGCCCAGGAGAGCTGACAGTTCTGGAGACCTCACCCTTCTCCCCACTGCACTGAGCACGTGGCATGCCCTACACTTTGGGACAGAAAATGGACTTAGAAGGTTTTGCCTTCAAGGAGGCCCCACAATGGAAAGGAGCCTTTTCCATGAGTGTCCAGCTTCGGGCAGTGGCTGCCAGAGTTGTAACTGGTATCAGCGTGTAAAGGAATCCAGGTAGTGGACGTCACAGGTCTTCTCCTAAAAATATGTTTGGATGGAGGGGGAGAGAGGGTGGGAGTAGGATAAAGGGAGAGAGGATGAAAGTGAAAGCAATTTCTCTAGTGTTTGCTAAAACTTTTTAAATGTAAGATAAAACTTTTTTGAATAAAATCGCATGATTGCTATTTGGCAGGTCACAGACCGTTTGGAATACCATATCGATGTTGAACTTGCCCGCAGCAATTGCAGAAAGCTTTCAAACAATAATGAAAACTGTAGTATTCAAGAAAACTTCAAGCTGGAAAAGGTAGGTGACAAACCACGATGGTCTTGGGTGCTCTGAGCCCCAGACAGAAGAACTCGGGGTGTCCAGACCTTCTCTTTGAGGTCTGGATCACTCCCAATGTTTAGCCCCAGAAGTAGTCAACCCTGTGAGTTTTGGAGCAGAGGGTGCAGGGCAGCAGAATGTGGTGGACCCTCTGAGACTTTCCTCACCCCTCGTTCTAGGGACAGGATTTTGTCAAGGTCACTCCTGTCGCAAAGGCTCCATCAATACTGGCTTCTTGGTGCAGGAAAATCTGCCAACACGTATTCACTGAAAATCTGCCCTCTTGGACCCGGATGAGCAACCCAGCTGTTTCTTACCCCACAGTTGCTCATCCTTGTGAAGACACAAAAGGAAATTCATTCACTCATCCACCCATCAAAGCTTACTTTGCACCAGGTGCTGTTCTGGGTGCTGGAGATTAAGCAGTGACTAGGCCAGACAGTGTCCCCATCCTCCCAGGCTGACAGCTGATTCTTGCCAGGCTCAGCCAGGTTTCCATGAAGGTCAGGGAACAGCCCAAAGACTCCCAACCAAAGGGTTGGCTTGGTCCAGGAGCTTTTGACCCCAAGCCTGTATTTCTGACCTCAGAGGTATTGAGAGCCTCAGATTGTTCATCCAAGTGCTTAAGCCCCAGGCTTTCCACAGGTTTTCCCAAGAGGCCCATCATTGCCCGTTTCTTTACACCAGTGGTTCTCCAACGTCAGTGGGCATCAGAATCACGTGGAGGCCTTGATAAACCCAGATGGCGAGGTCCTACCTGCAGAAGTTCTGATTCGTAGGTCCAGAGTGAGATCCAAGAATACGCATTCTTGGCAAGTTCCCAGGTGAGGCTGCTGCTGGCCTTGGGACCATCCTTTGAGCACCACTGCTTTACATAGCCGTGGCGCAGAAGACTGCAAGGGACCATTAGCGAAGAGTGCTCCCATTATGTCTGACTGAAACTGTCTCTGTGTGCTCAAACCCACCAAGCCCCATCAGTTCCAGTTAATAGTAGATACCCACCGGGACAAAGATTTAAGCAGTGGGAATGTCTTAAAGTCATCTGATCTTTCGCATTAGTTTTGTTCATCTTTTACTATTGGTAAAAATATGGTTGGTTTAAATTTATATTTTCTACTTGGCTTTTTGGGATTATGGGAAAGTTGTTGCTTTTTACTTGTTTGTAGGAAATATAAAAAGAATTAAGGAGAATCATTCTCAAGGAGCTCACTTATTGTATGTAAGGTTTCCGTGGACCCTCCTGGTTTTACAGCATACGTTTTTAATCACAAAATTTATCACTAATGAAAACTTCCTTTCTTTGTTTCTGAGTCTTTGGAATAATGCTGAAAAGTAAGAATACTGGACTGTTTTTCTTGTTCCCAGATTTAATGGGAATGTTTTCAGTATTTATATCCTATTAAATATCACATCAAGTGCTGATGTCTGAACTTCCTCCGATTCTCTTTTATTGAGAATTATTTTTTAAATTAAGAATATTTTCTTCTATCAAATATTCTTTCAACTTCTACCAAATATATTGAATATCTTTTCTTCTTTGACCCATCATGTAATTAATTAAAATAATAGATTCGCTAATATTGAGCCATTCTTACATGTTTGGAATATAGTGCACTTATCTTTGCGTGTGTGTGGTTTTATAACTTTATTTGATTGTCAGTGGTTAGTTGTCATCCACATTGGCAGACTGTAGGTTTTTGAAAGTGATGACAGATACACAGATAACAAATGTATACGCTTGTTTGGTGAATCCTCATCTTCATTAAGTTTTCTGGGCAACCCCACATGAATACGATATAGAACATTCCTTATTCTTTTGGCCAGAGAGCTTTGTTGAGCCTGATGTCGATGTGCACATCTGACATTTCCATCTCTTTAACAGCAAATTTCTGGCTCTTTCTGAGTGCCTGGGGAGCGTGCTTCTTGAAGCCCACTCCATGGATGGGAGCTTTCATTTTTTCTGTGTTCTAGATCAGTTTAAAGACCAAAAGAGCTTTTGGTTCCCAAGGTTTGATGTAGTTTACCTATAAAACCATCTTGATTTGGTACTTTTTTGTGGGTTTGTGGGAAAAGAGGCCTCCATAGTCCTCCTTTGCATGTGTTCAGTACTTGTCAGAGATCAAACTTCCTTCTTTCTGACTCCTTTTGCCTCATAGCTCCTGGAAGTGCCTCAGTGTTTCCAGTCAATTATTTAAGATGTCTTTTGCTGTTTTTCCAGGACTGCTGTCTGCCTGCCTGCCTGCCTATCTCCCTATCTATCTATGTATCTATCTATGTATGTATCTATCTATCTATCCATCCATCCACTATCTATCCATCCATTCATGCATCTTTCCACCCATTTCATGACCCTTCCACCCATTCATCTATCTATCCACCCATTTAAAGACCCATCCACCCATTCATCCATCTATCCACCCATCCATCCATTCATCTACCCATCCACCCATCCATCCATCCATCCATCCACCCATCCATCCATCTACCCATCCATCAATCCACTCATCCAAACATCCATCCACCCATCTCTCCATCCACCCACCCATCCATTCATCCATCCAGCCATTCACCCACCCACCCATACACCACCCTCCCACTCTTCCATCCATCCATCTGTCCATCCGTCCATCCATCCATCTATCCATCCATCTATCCATCCATCCATCCACCCATTCATCCATCCACCCATTCATCCATCTGTCACAAACATAAAATATTCCATTTGTCATTTCAATGATATTTTGAAAGAAAGAGAAGGAATCTTTGGAATAAAATATGTTAGGCCCTAAATCCCTTTAAATTTTTCTTACCTTGACTTGTAATTAGAACAAAAGGAATTATTTAATTATTAAGATAGCATACAGTAGTTTATATCTACATAGAATTGCTTTATTTACATTGTAGGAAATATTAAATATAAGTAGAAATAAAATCAAGTTTACAGCTGATCTCCCACCAAAATATGATAATTGTTAGTATTTACTGTCTGTCTGTGGTTGGTGTGGGAACAGAGACCTCTATGGGTAACTGCTGATGGCTGTAACAGTCTGTAGCCTCCAGCTAGCAGATTTCTGGGAGCATTCCGTGACAGGTGATGACCTATCTTCCAGCATATTCCTGAGCTGACACCTAGCAACAGGACAAATTTTTCTTTTTCTTTTGGCACACTACTGATTTTGGTTGTGGTGGTGGTCTTTTTCAGAAAGTAATGTGTAGCTTTTTGGTTGGAGCACTCCCCTGGAATGGCGAATTCACTGTGATGAAGAAGGAGTGTGCAGACGCCTAGGGGTTTCTGGAGCACACCCCCACCACTTCTCTACCTTTCTCTATGAAAAGAGCAATGGCGCACCAACACACTTTCCTCATGCATGCCTCTTTGCTTGCTGTTTTGTTTTCTAGTTTCGTATTAGGTAGTGATGAAAGATGGCATGTGCAATTCCTCCTTCCTGGCCTCAAAGGAGATGCTTTGCCTTTGGCCAGCTTGATGGCTCACCACCAGAAATGAGTTTATCACTGAGTATTAAGGATAGGGTGAGGTCCAGTTCCATTCCCCACTGCAAATCCAAGGAGGAATCCCTTTTTGATTGGGTAACAATCTCTTCCAGAGGTCCAAACCCAGTAGGTGCTAACTCAGCTTCCCTCTAGAAGCCTCCTTTGGCTTGAGACTCTTTCCTTTCTGGGAACCCTAGGTGGATGGGTCCCTGGGCTGGGAGACGCCCTGGCAGAAGCAGCAGTCCTCCCCTGTGAGGTCTCTGTGACTTGGGGGAATTTGTGTTTCTTCTTATGTAAATGTCAACAATAGTCACAGAGAGAGGGGTGAGGGCAATAAAGCCTTAACGAGTGAGCTGTGTTGTTTGCATGTGTCTGTGGGTACGTGTGTGTGCATGTGTGCATGTGTACATGCGTGTGTGTGTATAGGTGTATATGTGTGTGTGGTGAGAGAGAGAGAGGAGAGATGGGGGAATGTGGAGAAGGAAGTAGGCAAACAGTGATGATAGTAGAAGATAAAATTCCCTTGAAGAAAGTAATCATTAAAAATAGAGAATTATTTAATGGATAGAGAATTTCAGTTTGCAAGATGAAAAAGTTCTGGAGGTTAGTTGTACAACAACATGAATACACTTAACACTACTGAACCGTACACTTAAAAATGGTTAAGATGTTAAGTTTTACCACAATTAAAAATTAAAAAAATAAATAGAGTGTCTATTTTAAACGTGGTGTCGGGTGTGATTCAGGAGGCCAGTCGTATTTCAAGTGTGCACACACATGAGCCAGATTTTACCTCCCAGGGCCAGGTGGGCGGTGGGGACTGCAGTATTTCTGCCCCAGACAGAAGGAGGCCATGAAACTCAAAGACCAATCCTTTGTCTCTGGTTCTCTGATTTACCAGTTGACATTTCACAGTTGGGGACACTATACCACTGGGGCGGCAGGTGACAAGTGGCACTCACTGTGCAAAGCCTTTGCTTCTCCAGTTGTGTCTGCTCCTCTCCCCAGCTCCACCGTGACTCTCTCTTCTGGCCCACCCACCTCCACACCCTGTTTTCATCCAGTGAAGCCCTGCTCTGCTTTCTCTTTCCCTCTCAAGATCCTCACCTAAGCGACCAGGACTTGGATCTGAAACAGATTTTTACATTACTTGGGCCTAATACGCATCTCCTGATTAAAAACTATTCTTTCCTGCGGGCCAGGAGGGCTCCATCAAAAATGCCCCCTCCCCTCCCCCTGCGGCCCTGACACACTGATGGAATGCCCCAGGAGGGAGGAGCAGACCCGTGAGCCAGGCTTCCAGGGGCTCCAGGACCCGGTTGGCTTACAGCTCCGTGGGTCTCTTCTGTTTGTGGAACAGTGTAAGTGCCTTAGGAAAGATCAGTTTAGGACCAACGTCTTAGAATTGTCCTTCCTTATGGACAGCTGGGCAGGAAGCACAGGAATCAGATGTCTGGGGCAGGCAGGCATCAGGCAATGCAAGACCAGCCTGGGCGTGCTGGGGGCAGAGGTGACCACCAGCCTGTGCTCTGTACAGGTCTGCTTCCTGCGCGGGCCCATAGATGCGGTGTATACACGTTTATGTGCAGGAGTCTATTTCTAAGTATATTCTAACTTATATTAAAATTTTATTTAATTTAACCTCATTCCTTTTCAACTCCCCTCTCCAAATATCTTCTCTTTCATTTTCTCTCTATAAACATGAAATAAAATACAAGGCAGGCCTAACTTTCCCCTTGCTGGATTTCATGTCATTTTGCTAAGATGTTATAGGAACACACACATGCACACACACACTCGTTCTCACAGGTACACACAACCTTTCCCTGTTCTTTTCCAGAGAGGAGCCCTCCATGATAGGATCCGCAGTCTCCATTAGGTTCTGCTAACACCCTGTCTGCAGACGCTGGACGCCAAGCACTGTCTGTCTCTGTCTGGGACACAGGAGCACGGAGGCCGGGGGAAGCCACAGAGCTCAAGGAAATGGGGCATGACCAGACAACTGGGTGGCCTCAAATGTTGCCCAGGCTCTGGACTGGCATGAGGAGTCCATGCCCTCTGCCCTGCCCTCATCCTTGCAGGGACACATGGCTTGTCCACCTGGTGACCAGTCATGGCCATGCTGTGTGTGAGGACAAGGAATCCATTTAGCACAGTCCTGGGTTGGGCCTTGGAGACCCCACAGGCTAGTGGGAAATGAGGTCAGAGGCAGGGACCTGCCAGAACCAGGATTGGGCACCTGGGACCACACGGACAGCAATGGCAGGGAGCTCAGGGCATTGGACCTGGGAAAGGGCCAGCTGGGCTGTGCAGAGAATAGAAACTGGTCCTAGTTCCAGAAGACATGAGTGCTGTCCCAGCTCTGCTGATTCCCGCTTGTGGTGCCCTCACCACTGAACCTACTCCTGGTCTGGTCTGCTCACCACAACGTGAGAGAGCGTCAGGACCGCCTGGCTCCCAGGGTCCCGCTGGGATGGGAGGCAATGGGGGTGGACGTGCACTAATTTCTCATAGGTCCTAGAATGGGGGATTTCCCCTTCTGTGCAGTTAGTATATTTAGACCCAGTGGATGCATTTCTAGTGTCTCCAAAGGACACAGGGACAGACAGTCAGACCCGGGACAGATGGCGGCCCATGAGGGTGCGGGAAGTGTGTGGAGTGGCCACAGGATCCAGCTTTACCCTGTGTGGTGGGGGCTGGGCAGGGTGGGCCACGGTGGGCGAGTTCTGGGCATGGACCTGGGGCTCAGCGAAGGGGGCTGCTCCACTTTCCCTCCCCCAGTGCCACGTTCTTCACTCCTTGCTCTCCTCTGTATCTCCGTTAGGAAAAACGTTACCTGAAACTTGGGAAAAGGCACAGAGAAGTCAGCATGTGCTTTTCATGCCATTTTGGATGTTGTTCAACAGGTCTAATGAGGATTATTGAATTATCCAGGGAATGTCCTTCTGTTTGACGTGCTCTTGATTACTGATTGAAGGCCAGACTCCGAAGTTAACTTGTGGGTTAACTTGTGGGTCTCTTTGTCTAACAGAGGTGCAAATGATTCCTGGTTAGTGGAAAATGTCACCCCAGAGGTTATGGTTTTACTGCTTTCTAGAAAAATGAATTAATTTTGTAATTAACCTGGGCATTTCCCCTGGACATTCTCCATGCCCAGTAATGCTATTCCTCGATTCTCCCTTGAGCTGGCTTTGCCTCACTGTTGGGTCTTTCTTTATGGAGTTGAATAAATCATATGCTCATTCTATGTAAGTGATCAGGCTTGTAACTTTATGAAAATTATCCTTTGACAGTTTCCATGTGAGTCCCCCAGAGTTCTCCACCGTTCAGGGCACCAGGTATGTCCCATGGGATTCAGGACCACTACCTTCCCTCACTGTGCCCCGGCCCTCTCCAGGTTAACTTGGGGAGACTCTGGGATGGGCCTCCTCACAGGTCTGTCACTTGCTATGGAGGGGAGAGGATCAAGAGTACAAGCAATAAACACAAAATATCAGCAGGTCAGAGATTGATGGATATAAACGTTGGCTCTGTTCAGGGGCTTGGAAGCTGTCAGGAGCACCCGGGAGTCAGCTGGGCATCCAGAGAAAGTGGCACTGGGAAGGTCATGTTTGGCCCTTGCCCTGGGAAGAGTGAGTACTCAGACTGACAACTGTTACCCATTGCCAGATGGGAGCTTTTGGGTTCTGAACTTATGGTGCCCGAAGGTAGTAAAATGACAAGCTGCCCTTGGAGCATCGACTTTCCTGTATTCTGGTTCCAAATTCTTCAGAGTTCCTTGTTTTTAATCACACGTTTGCATCCCTAACACAGAGACATTCTGAGTGAGAAGCTGGGGTCACCAATTGCATCTTCCGTTGGCCTGGACAAATGGGCTTTGTGCCTTGCTGACCAGGGTCCCTGGGGATTTTGTCACCTGCACTGTGGCTGGAGCTGGACCACCAGGCGAAGCCGATAAAACCCTAAATCTGACAGTTCAAGGCTCAGGGAGTAGGCCCTGTATCACAGGGAAAGTGACAAAACCTGAGGTCCCCTGTAATAGCCATGTCTGATTGTGAAATTAGCCCTTGACTTTGGTTTTGAATAAAACCAACACTACTGGCATATCCATGTAAGCTGCCCAAAAGCCCACACTTGCTGCAGAACGTGTCCAGGACACCAGTCCATGGTGGAGATTAGACCAGAGCAGATATATTAAAAATAGCCTTTGCACATGTCATTCCCATTTAAAAAAAAAATTAAAGAAACCAGAAAGGTTGGTGGAGGTTTGTACCAGTAAACTATTAGATATTGTTACAGTGGTTTTATCATGATGGAGAATTTACCAACCCAGGGTTTGGCTCCTACTGAAAAATAACAAATTTCTTCACGAAAAGGAAAAAGAAAAAAAAAGATTAATTAGCTTTCATGGAAAATTTAAAAAAAAAAGGAACAATCAAGGAGAAAAGAGAAAAACCATTTTTTCATGGCAGGTGTCAAACTGGCTAAAAGGGTTATCTTGTTGGGCATATACTGATTTATGCATTGAAAAAAATCAAAGTAAACACATAGTTTATCAACTTTAGCAGTAAGTGTTAATAGAACAGAAAAATCAAGTAGCACTTACAAACTCATAGGAGGGAAATCCACAGGAAGGAAATCCACAGGAAGGACAATAAGTCACCCCAGATAAACCCAGGAAATAAAGCATGGTACACAGGAACAGACTAAGAAAGTCAAAATGTGGTTGGATTTTGTAAACTGATAAAATGGAAACTCTTGAATTTTATAAGATTATGTTAAAAACAAGACAACAGGCCCCAAATGGGTCGCTTATGTTAAGCCCCATGTCACCAAACCAAGACTTAATCTAATTAC